GGCCTGCCACATCATCTGGTCCCAGGGCATTTCTTTTTGAGTTCACTATTGTTTTGGCCACTTGGCTAGGTCTTTGGTCTGGACTTGTATTAATTTTCTAGTTTTCATAACAAAGTACTGCATCGTGGGCAGCTGCAACCACAGACGTTTACTGGTTCACCGTTCTGGAGGCTGGAGGTCTGAAATCGAGGTGTCAGCAAAGTTGGCTCCTTCTTTTTTTTTTTTTTTTTTTTTTTTTGGGGTGTTTTTTCTTTTGGACGTTTTGGAGAGGTTTTTGCTATAGAACGTGCATTCGCCAGAAAGACAGAGAGAGACAGAGAGACAGAAAGCGAGAAATCGCCCCCAGGAGGGATGGCCACCCCGCAATCCATTCTCCTCCATTCTCCTCTCAGGATCTTGGGCTTGCATGCACATGCGTCTGGCATGAGTTTAAGCCACTGGGTCCGGGACTCAAACCGCGGTCGACTACATGGGAGTCCAGCGACATAGCCATTACGTTAACTGCTGGTCCCAAAGATGGTTCCTTCTGAAGGCTGGAATGGAAGGATCTGATTCAGGATTTTCTCCTTGGTGTACAGAGGTGGTCTTCATTTTTCACGTGACTTTCCTTCTATGTCTGTGTTCAAATTTCCCCTTCTTACAAGAACACCAGTCACATTGTTTTAGGATGACTTCAATGACCTAATTTTTAACTTGATTACCCCTGCAAAAACTCTCTCGCCCAGTGAGATTATACTCTGGGGTATTAGAGTTAGGACTTGAGCATATAAATTTTGGGGAGATACAATTCAACTTTTAACAAGAGCTGATAGTGGGCTTGGGGTTCCAAGAATAGTGAGATAGAGAAAAAAAACCCTAACACCTAGGCTTTTTCTAAGTTTCTGCCTGCATCTTGTGTGCTATAAATCCATTGGCGAAAGCAATGGCTTTGTCTGCTGTGAATGTGGGAGAAGTTTATCAAGGGACACATACAGAAAAGCAATTATTATGGCCTTTATTGGCAAATAATCGAAAACCCATACTCATATCTAGTTAGTGACTTGATTATAATAGAACTCAAGTTCAACTTCCTTGATAAGAAGGAAGTTTGTAATACCAAGAGAGTGGTTAGCAGTGTAGGTGATATTTATATTTTTTTCTGGAATATCATTAATTAATTAATTCTTTTTTTAAGTTGCCAGAGGATATGTGTTCTCATCTGAGAGAGACAGCACTCCTAATTGTGATGTGGTCATATCAAAATCCCTTCTCCATTTCTCCATCTCATTAGTTTTTGAGGCACCCCCCCCTACACACATACACACACACACACGCACACACACTCTATGTAATTGTCAAGCTATCAGGGGTGAGATTTGTACGACAGTCTGTCATGTGGGATCTGGCTCCTTAATTACTAAGCCACAAAGCTGGCCACATTCATTTATCTATTTAATATTTATGTATAAAGTCTAGCAGGTGCTGAAGATCGTTAGGTGAAGGATATACTTAATCTTCATCCTGATGGAGCCTACAGTCTAAAGGAGGTGAGAAGAAATATT